CATCACCATGGAAGCAGGACCCACCCTGGAGCAGGAGCTGGCTCGGCTGCTTTCAGATGCTGGGTCTTATCAGCAGAGCAGAGTTTAAAGCCTGAAAAAACAATAATATTCGTTAGTGATTAACAACAGCAAGGTGCTGAAGCAAAGAGGCACTTTGCCTCTTCCAAGCTCATTGTGGACATGAATAAGTGAAGTCTCCTTTTCCTAGCAGTGGGGGCAAACAATGGTTGTTTTCATTTCACAAAGGCACTTGCTCATCATTCAGCTTATACCTGACCTCCAAAATCCATCTAGAAACTCACCCTGAGGAGAGGCTGGCTCTTACCTCAGGTTACTAACTTGCTAGTAATAAAATCCTTGAGATAGGTAACTTTAAAGGTCAGAACTTTCAATTTTTGTGCTGAATTGATGTGAAAAACTACAAATTGCCTTGTTTTCACCCAGACCAAACCTGGAGCACCACGTGCTTTATTTGGGGGAGAAGGGAGGCTCCCATAGGAAGTCTATCACAGCACAAAATCCAAGCTCTCTCTGCAGTCCTGACCTAATAACGTGACCATGGCATGGTCCTCCAAAGCCATCACCACCTGCATGTCCCTGTGTTGGTGCCTGTGTGGCTGCAGTGGGTGCAGAACGTGGGGACAGCCTGGCATGGGAGCATGACAAGCTCTGCAAGGTGGTTGGTGTGGTTCAAAATGTCCTACTCACCCTCTGCTGAGTGCCCTCCGAGGTCTCGCTCCTTTCCAAAGATGTTCCAAATAAACCCTGGAGAGCCAAACCATAAGCATCAGTTTAGACTTTGAATGTCATTATTGGTTTAAAAAAACAAAACACATGAATGAAAGGGAGGTGATTTTATTACTCTTATAATGTGTTTTCCATTATTTGCATAATTGTTTAATGCTAATAAAACAATTAGCAATTCTTACAGCTTAATCATTACCCAACTGTGACTGGCCTGTTGGAGCTTAATGCATTTTTAGATTGTTGCTGGGGGTCTTGAAGTTTCTCCAAGTATCTGCTTGTGTTAGAGATGCTGTTTATGCAAACAGGGTGACACCAAAGGTGAGACACCACCAGCCACCCAGGACAGGCAGGGACAGTACTATACAGATCATAAAGGTCTCTTGAATTTAAAAGGAGGGGGAAATGCAAGCTCTGTATTCTGCTGCTTTAGGGCCAAATTATCTAGATGCACAGAGAGGGGCAATGCAGAGATTTAAAAACCAGTCCACCCTAGGCAAATGCTACCCCTGTAGAAGCCAGGCCCCTCAGCTGGCCTGGGGCTGGCTTTAACATCCCCAAAGCTAACCCAAGTCTCACCATTTTCAGCTTTTAGCCAGCAATTCCTCAAGTTCAGTGTGAATCAAACCACCCTGGACTGTGGTAAGGCCAGAAGGAAGTTAACTGAGGGCAGCAGGGCCAGGATTGTGCTTGTCACTGCCCGAGGTCACAGGTGAGGCTGGCTGGAGGAAGAGGATGGTGGGACCCTGGGGAGCAGTCCCAGGAAGACTCCACAGCCCACATTTACACACCTACAATAAGTAACAGAGATGGAGTTTTCCTCTCCTTTCTTGGCATGAGTTTTCTTGCAGGCTGCTCCTTGCAAAGCGAGGCATCTCTTTCTCTGCCCTTTCTCCTTCCCCATGGCTGGCAGAATGTGGGTGCCCTTGACCACAACGTTCTGTTTGTTGGCTGTTACCTGCACACCTCTCCCTGCGTTTCTGCTGGTGACGTAGCAGGTCAGGCAGATTTGCCTCTGAGCTCAGTGCTGGGGCTCTTCCAGCTCCCCAGCACCAGGCATGCCCCAGGGGCAGCTGCCACCCAGTCAGGAGCGTGCAGGCACCTCCCCAGTTAGTCATGGCCAGCTCACGGGGTGCTCCAGGGCACCCCTCACGGTTCCTGGGATGCAGCACCCCTGCTCCTGGGCACTGACACCCAGGGCCATGCTCCCAGCCACACCAGGCCTGGCAGGAAGGGGGCATGGCCAGCTTAGAGATGGCCACTTGTGCCCTGCCAAGGCAGCAAAGGTCCATCACGTGCACACTGGGCAAGTGTCCATCTCCCTCCCGAGGCTGCCACATCTGGGTTGTAAAAACATGGCATTTTGGTCATGGGTCATAAAAATACTTGATCTTTGCAGCAGAGAGAAATAATTTGCAGTAGGAAACTGTCACAAGAGGTGCCTGGTGTTTGCAGGGGATTTGTGATCCTTGATGCTTGTGTGGGGTATAGAAGTAGCACCCCATTAGCTCTGTGGGGAAACAACTAGGCCTTTGGGAGGACCTCACATGAATGCCACCACAACATGGGTGAGGAGGTGTCACATTCTCCTTGGCTCTCCCACTGCAGCCTGGCTGCACCATGCCACCACCTCCAACCAGGCACACTGGGGCGGGTTCCCAGCCTGGATTCAGCTATTCCCATTCTCCTGTCCTTGCCAGGCAGTGGTGTTTAGCAGAGAGGCTCCCCAGCCCTCTACCACCTCTGCCCAGCACCAGCCGTGCAGGCACCAGAGCAGGGCCAGCTGAAGCACAGGGCTGTGCCAGCCCTGCCCCGAGCTGGGTGCAGCCACAGGATAACAAAGAGCCCCTGGCCAGTTCTCCCTTCCCAGTCACACCTCCCCTAAAGCTGGGATGGGATTCCCAGTGTATTTGATGGGACCAAAAGCCTCCCCCCAAGCCAATGTTGAGAGTATTTCCCAGCTCCACCTGGACTCCTTGACACCAGCCCTGGCAGCCCACGGCTCTCCTAGGAAGCTCTCAACCACAGCAGATGGTGGTGGAGAAGTCTCTAAGCAGGGGATTGCCCCACTCTGGGACACGTTGCCTGGAAGGCAGATGGGAGCAGCCACTTCCACTGGGCAAGTCTCTGGGGCCTTGTGGGTTTGGCCAGGAACAACCCTCCAAACCTCCTTGCTGCTCCTCTAAGCAAGGCACCAGCTCTCCTTGCTGACAGGACACCCCCCTTGACAGCCCCATTCTCAGCCCTGATCTGGTTCTGGTGACCCATTCCAAGCCAGAGCAACCTTCTCAGCTCCCCTGAGGCCAAGCAGAGGGTGGCAGCAGAGCAAATTCTCCTTTCTGCTATATTGAAGGTTCCCATGAAGTGAAATAACAAATCACAGATGATGCTTTTTGTACTGGGAGATCTAGGGGAAGGCCTAGCTCTGCAGAGTAACTTCCACCCACGCTCCCTCCCTTCAAATTTGTTTCCTGATCTCCCAAAAGATGGTTTCTGCAGCTGCTGCTAAAAAGGTGCTCCTTCCACCTTCTCAGACACATCTCTTCACAGTGCTCTGCAAGTCCTGGCTGTCCTGGTCTAAGTGATCATTAAGTACTTCTGTCAACATCCAAGCATCCCCTGCTCCTCCAGACCAGGCAGCCTGGAGCTGGTCTGCTCACAGCAGCTATCACCAAACAGCAGAATTTAGGGCTAACAACACAATTTGGTTTTGTCTGTAAATGTTTCCAGCTGCAGCCCTGGAGTGGGATTTCTGGGCAGCCCCAGCTGCAGGGAGGACCTTCCCTGGACCACCACCACGCTGTCTGACTCACCATCTTTGCGAGGCAAGTCTTGAGACGTTTTCCTTGCTCCTTGATTCAAAGCCCTGTGCAAAGCCCTTTTCCAGCCAGTCCCACAAGTTCCTGGCTGCTCGGGCCCACAGCAGCACTAGAAGAACCACCTCCCTGCTCTGACAAACTGAGCAGTGCTTTAATGATGTCTGATAAGGGACTAAGGTAAGAGGAGTCAGTAATCTCACCGGGAACCCTTCCGACAGACGTTAATCCTGCTGTCACCAAGCCCCTCAGGAAAACCATCCCACTGACTTCATCTTCTTCAGCTGCTCCTCCACATCATTTATACGTAGCTAATTGCCACGGCAGTGGCTCTGGATGTGAAGCAGATGCTGTGAGGAAAAGAGGATGTTGCATCCTTAAGTGATAGCTCTAATCTCTTTAACTAAAGACATAGGCCACTTACAGCTGATGGGAGGTTCAGATCTCTCCCTGTTTCTCTCCATCTCTGCAAAGCCAGCCAGACATTCATTCACATTTTGACACAATAGCAGAAGTCCTCAGGTGCCCTCCTTTTCTGTCCTCAAATGACAGCTCACAAATTAGCCATCACCCCTATCAGCAGACCAGGACCAGAGAGCAGTGGTCAGAAGAGTCACAGGGAGGAACTGGCAGGTCCTGAAGAGGAAACCCAGCTGCTTGTTCCAAGACTCCACTGTGACAATGGCCAGCTGCTGGGATGTTTGCAGATGTACCAAGAAGTTTGCTTTATTTGTTTTTGAAGAAAAGTTTTCTAAGGAACCTCTTAAAAGTTGTCCTGTCAGCAGCTGGTGCTGACCAAACTCATCTATGATACCCCACTGACCCTTCAAAACCTCCTTCTCCATTTCCTGCATATCCTGTAAGAGGCCAAGATAGCTCTGTAAGCATTTGGCCATGGAGGCAAATGCTTACATCTTCCAGACCTGCTTTGTTTCAAATAAGAGGCTGAAGAACAAGGAGAGTGGGATGTCAAGATACACCCAAGGCAGCACAGAACAGAGAAAGGCACAATGGAAACAAAGATATCTTTAATTATAAAAGGAAAAAAAAATCCACAAACAGCCACCTTCAGAAAATGAAGTGGTCTCTTCCCATGCACAGATCTGCATGTCTCCTCCAACACAGAGAGGGCAGAGACTTCAAGTGCAAGGGCCAGCGTTCCCTTCTGCTCTCCCAGCAGCTCTGACCTGCTGGAGAGACAAAAAAAACCCAAACAACAAACCAACAGCCACTGCCCCAAGACCCCATGAAGGATGTGGTCCCTGTTTGGCACAATGTCCAGGAGATTTTCCTCCCACAATAAAAGTGTCTTAGCCAGACAGACTAATCCTTGCCCCCTTCTGTTCTTCAGTCAGCACACTCCTTCTCCAGCACTGTCTGGCCTGCTACATCACCTCTTGGATCCTCCAGCACATGAGTTGAAATACACTGTCTTCTTACAGGGCTTCAATGCAGCTGATGAGTCCAGTTAAATTAACTCCTCTGGAAGTGGAGCTCCCACATGTTCATATCATGGCTTCCATGTGCAGAACCTTCAGGGCCTCCGAAATCTGCGAGCTGGTGTCGATCTGGCCATACATGCCCACCAGGAAGGCCCTGTGCAGCAGCACTGCTGCATGCTCTGAGAAAGGGAAAACCAGCATGAGCACTGCCCCGAGAGCTCCCCCATGCAGGCCAGAGCAAATCCACCAGCACACACCAGGATGAACCTCTGCAGCTCTGCAAGAAGTTCTGTCCTTCTGTAAGAACATGGCACAATCCACCTCCCACAGCTCGGTGGGTGTGGGGTTATGAGAGGGATCCCAACTCAGAGAGAATCATAGGGGAGCAAGCTGACTTCAAGGAAGCCTCCCTTGTCTCTATGACACACCTCTGCCGTGATGCTCAGACCAAAGCTACCACTGAGAGAGATCCCCTGTGTGTTAGATGGGCTGCTCTAGCTGACCCCTGGCAGCTTCCCAGGGAGGCTGTTCCCAGCACAGGAGCCCAGCTGTGACACCTGGGAGGCCAAGCGTGCAGCCCAGGTGGCAGATGCCAGCTCACCTTGGCACAGGAGGGTGTACTCAGGCAGGTTCCTCAGGGCTGTCTGCACCACCTCAAAGTCTCGGCTGCCAAGGCAGTACATGAAGGTGGGAAGGAAGTCTGCAGCAATGCTGGGAGCAAAACATCAATGTCAGTACAGTCCAGACCACCATCAACAGGGGTGTGAGACAGGCAGCTGGTGCCACCAGGGAGCTGGGGCAGCCCAAGTCCCCGTGGTCCTCACCTGGGGTTGTTCTGAATGGAGCGCAGAGCCAGGCTAAAGGCCAGGTTTCGGCAGGACTCCTCTGAGGAGCTCATCAGCTTCTGCAGGTTGGTCTGAAAGAAGCAGCACAAATTAGCAGAGGGCCATCCAGAGAGCACAAGCTCCTCAGACTTGCATTACTACCCCTCCAGCACCAATCCTGCACAACACACATCCAGCAGGTACTGGCTGAGCCCAGAAACCCCCCTCTGTAAGGAGGATTATCCTGGTTTTGAATACTTGAAAACACTCTTCTGTAATCTTATTCCATGTGGGACTGCTGAGTTTTCCCTAGGCTCCAGTGTTTTTAACAGAGTTGTTCTGCTCTCTCCTTGCCTCAACACTGGGAACAGGACAGAGGGTTAATTCTTCCTCTGATATAAAGAGAAGTTGAAGTGGATGATGACAGACCAGTGTACAATGGAGAGAAGATGGCAGGGACAGAAATACTGCCTGCTGTCAGGAGGTCTAACTGAAGATAAATTTCTATAAGATGCTGCAGCAACCACCCAAAAAGCAGAGGAAGGGCAGTACTTAAGCTGGCTGCAACACAGACTCTGCTGAAAAGAATCTCTTCGTTCTAGTGACAGTGAGACAAATACTCACAGCAAAAAAGAAGAGAATCTCTGGCCTCCGTCTGGACATCTCATCAATGTCTGTCAGCACCTCCAGGATGTCTGGTGGAAGAGACAGGTTGAAAAGGAGGAATGAAATTCACTGATCCAGGAAGGACTTTTCCTTTTTCCCTACAGATCCAACCTCCCAGCAGTCAAGTGTTCCCACCTGCACACAGAGCTAGAGTAATAAAAGCAGCTCTTCAAAAGGATGAGAACAGGTAGGTGACATGCCAGACCAGCACATCCCAACCTGCCCAGGCAGAGGTCACCAGCACTGTCTTGCCATTGGCAGGGGAGTGGGTGGAGTGGGGTGTGAGGTTTCAATGCCACCACACCTTCTTCTGTAACTGAAGAATTTCACAGAAAGTCTCTTTTAAAACAGTGTCCAGGCAGGATTTCTTCCCCCTGTTTCTAGTGTGGACAGAAAACTGTCACTCCAATACCACAACTTAGGTCTGCATGCTGGACACATGTGGTTTCAGAAGGCCTCTGGAGAGGCAGCATGTTGTTCCCACATGCCAGGTTAACATGATTTTCTTCCACGAAGGCCATGTGGGCATTTCTAACAAAATCCTGCTTCTCAACAGTTTGGTATTCTCATATCATTATGGCATTCCTATCAGCACTCCAGACCCAGCTTGACACGACCTGCAGCACTCCCTGAATTACTCATACAACCTCCTAGAGCACTTACAAGATCCTTGAAGAGCCCCAGAGCAGAGGCAGTTGTAGCACTGCTGAGCTAAGTGATAACACCATCATAGGAAGCCTCTGTCAAGCAATCATAGAAGGTAATGGACAAGTTCACCCAAAACAAAACCACATCCTTACTGCTGGAGACTTCCAAACACAAGACTGAGCCAGGAAACTAGCCTGTAGCTGACAGATAAGTTGGCATATGTCTGCATTGGCCTGCACCTTCGTGCAGCTCTGCAGGTCCATGCTTACCCTCAACTGTCTGACCTCTAGAGAGCCTCTTCATGTATGGGGCCATATCAGCTGGTGTGAGAGGAGTGAAGAGAGACACACTGACAAGGGGCAGAGAGCCAGCTGCTGCTTCATCTGGGGAGAGAGAGAACAGGTCACTCCTGACAGCCTGGGCAGTTTTAACAGAGAGACAGGTCCAGCAATCCCTACCAGTACAGTGGTGTCCATGAGCTGGCCAGCAATGCTGCAATACAGCTCCTGGCTCTCACAGCCCCTTCTCTCTACAGCCTCACTGCACCTTCTGGCACCCCTCAGACCTTCCCAAGCTGTTTTAATACTGAGTAATTTTCCCATGCAAGCCATCACCAGTGGAGGAAGGGATGTACCCTTAGGGTGTCCTGACAGGTCAGTCCTTGAGCATGGCTGGGGAAGGCAAAATCCACAACAATGAAACTTGGCCTTGCTAAGAGCTGTTCTTCTACTCCAGTAGTGACACCACTGACAAGAAAAATTAACCCATTACAGACAGGGGTTCCAAACTGCTGAGTATAAAAGTGCCATTCTGTGCTCCAAATATCCTTTCATTGGGCTGTTAGGAGGAGAACAAGCACAGCACATGTAAGAGCAGCTGTGCTCCCAAACATGCTGCAGATTCACCAGCTGAATTACTCTTCTCCCCAACCCAGACTCACCTTCCTTCTCTTCATCAGAGCCTCTGTCCAAGCTGCCACTCTTACTAGGCAAACTCATGCCAGCCAGGAGGGACTTCAGCATTGCCAGGTCACTGTTGTCTGATGACAGGTCACTGGGGCAAGAGAAGGCATGGTCAGTTTTCAGTAGCAGTAAGGGCATAAGGACAAGTAGCAGCACATCCATGGTAGGCAAAAATGAATAGTTTCTTAGAAGCAGAAAGAGTTTTCATCAGAACTGGAACTCAAATGCTTTTTTCCCCACCCATTTCTGCAGGTGGGACCTGCAGCCACTGCTCAGGGAAGCGTTGCTCCTGCTGGCCCTCTGGAAATGCTGCAGGGCATTTCCCTGCCCTCCATAGGATGTTTAGGCTCTTATGGGAGTTGAGTCATTATCTGACTTCCTTGGGCTCAGTTTTCACCTCTAAAGAGAGATATGCTGCTCTAGAGACTCAAGGGAGCTAAGGGTGAAAGAGTACCCCAGGAGCTAACCATGGGCTAACCGGAGTAAGGAAGCTTACTGGAGTGGATCCGAGTGCTTCTGCAAGAAGGAGACAGCTGCCTGGGCATTGCATGTGATGTACTTGTGGATAAACTGGACAAACTTGCTGATGAAGGCAGCCAGGTGCCGTGAGGATTTCCTGTAGTTCTGAGAAAAGATTGAGAAGATGAGAGTTAAGAGGAAAAGCAGAGATGCACTGCCCCAGCCTCACCTCGGGGGACCAGCGAGGAGCTTCCCTATCTCCTGCCTCCTTTTTAAGGTCTCCAAAGTACTCGATACACTTTTTTTGTTCTTAGGTAAAGAAGGTTTTCCCTTCAAATGGGAGAGAGCTGGGAGAGAGCCCCGTGTTCCAGGAGCCTCCCCAGCCCGCGGCTGGCAGCCCGCACGGGGGGCGCGGCGGGGACTCCCCTACCAGCAGCAGGCGGATGAAGGACAGCAGGCAGTCCCACAGCGCCGCCTGGTGCTCGCTCTGGAACACCTGCGGCTGGAGCAGCTCCAAGATCCCCAGCACGTGGATGAAGAAGGTCAAGTGGTTCTGCTGCCTGAACTCCTGGAAATTGAGGTGAACACGGCCGTGCAGCAGCGCCGCAATCATTGGCAAGTGCCTGAAACACCAAACAGAAGAAAATCCAGATCTAGCCTCTTTCTAGAAACAGCTACATGTTGGTACACCTCAGTTCCTGGGAGGAAGCGTCCCTTATCCTCTCCCAGGGTTCTAGATTTGATCCCTGCATCCACAGAATTGGCAAGACCCATTTCCCGCCCATGTTCTGTTCCCTAGTCTCCAAATCCAAAGACTGTTCCCAGAAGACAAGGAGCCAAAAGAGGTGCTGCCTCATTATATCAGACATGACTGAGCTGCCCTTTCTCTTGGCTTTTGTACATGAACATGCATTCTGTCACAATCACCATGAGGGCTTCAAGTTTGTTCCCCTTCTAGGACTAGGGTGGATGCTTTTTGATGAACTCCAGCCACACAGAGGATGAAAGAGGAGAGTGGTACCTGAGCAGTAGGATGGGATGAGCCACAGCGAGCTTCCTGCAGGCCATATTGGCATCCCACACACGGCTCTCTGACGACTTGGAGTCACTGGTGTCTGCCAGGAGGTTAATGAATCTGTGAACCAGGGCATCGAGCTAGAAAAAAAGTTGTGAGTAAACAGCTAAGAAGTTTAAAGCACAAACAAGCCCTGGCTCTTCAGCAGTGTTTCCCAATTCCTTTCCAACTACAGAAGGTGTTAACAAAAACGATTTTCAGGTAGAATCTGTGAGCACACGTAACACTCCAGCTGGCAGAGGATCTGAAGTCCACAGTCCCTGCAGACATCAAAGCAGGATCAGACGCCTGCACACTCCTGCTTTACAGAAGCCTTTGGCACAGACAAGCTTGTGGAGCTTACACTACTCTATAGAAGGACACTGCAAAATAACCCACACCTGAACTCTCTGCCCCTGAGAGTGCAGGCAGGGAAGGGGCCACAGAGCAGCAGGGTAAAGAAGCCCAAGTGACCCCAGAAACTTTTGCCAGTCCTCTCCTTTTAGACTGGGCATCAAGGGAGCATCCACTTGGGGTACACAACTGGAAAGGGGCCTCCCTACACCTCTGCCCTTACCTTGCAAGTGCTGCTGTCTCTGGCTCCTTCACTGGTGAGAAGCATCTCGGGCATAGGCACCAGGAGCTCAGGTAGCTGCAGGTATATCTGAAGCAGAAGGTCCTGGCAGCATTTTCCCACAGAGCTGAAGGTAAAAAGGGGAGGTCAGCTACTGGTTACTACATTGGTTCAGCCAGAAAACGTCCCAGACCCATCAGATGAATAACAGCCTTCCTATATGTGGCAAACAGGCCATGTAAAAGAGCAGCCACTGTTAATCTGGAACAGTGTTTTTTCCATCTTTGCTTCTTTTGAACTACCCAAATCATTCAGTGTTTACAGGGATCCATCCACAGTCTATGGGGACCCAACCATTTGGAGCCCTGAAGCCCTAAAAGCAAGAGGGCCCTTAAACTTCACTTTTAAAGTCACCTTCCTGGTCCAAGTACCATTTAAAAGGACGACTTACTGCCCCAAACCTCTGGCAGGACAGTGTGCACTTTGCAGATGGGCTCTGGAACAACATTCTTAATTGAGATGTGCTGGCAAGTCTCACTGTAACCTGGCTGCCCGTGCCCAGGCAGCTACAATCAGAGTAGACAGTGCAAGCCCACCTGCTCCCCCACTGCTGGATGCAGCCAGTCAGATACTCTGTCACTTTTTTGATGCTCTCAAGGTCCCCATGAGAACAACTGAGCAATAAAGGCAGTCGAGACTGGATGAGTGTGCAAGAGGCCTCTTCTGTGTTCTGGTATCTGGTTTCTGCTTCAGCCAGGATCAGCTCCACCATGCTGATCAACTCTGATGCCTTTAGGTGGAGCACAAATTCCTCACGGCGCTTCTGTAAGGCAAGAGGACACCCAAAATGAATCCACACCAAATCCCTAGATCTTTAGTTCTTAGATCTTTAGATCTTTCCACCACCCCTGACTGGAACGGAATAGCTCTTAAAGTTAGACTTAAGAATGGTCCCATTGCTGGAGCTCTCAAAGCATGCATCCCAGCCCCAAATGAAACCTCCTTCTACTCTTGAACTCATTTACTTCTATCCCAGTGTGTCTGATGGGCCAGAAACCATAAATGAGTCATCAAACCAAAGAACTTACTCTGTGGAGAAGAGATGCAACCCCCTTTTCTTTGTAGAACTGGAATTACCCAACACTGGGTTTTAGTTTGCTCACCACTGTAGCCTTGTGCCTAGATCTTTAACAGATATTGTGGCAATTGCTGCAGAGGAGATGCCAAGTGGGCAAACTTATGTGTGTTCCCATCAGCTTTTTGGACTCAAAAGTGCCACTGTAATATGTAACATAGGAGAGCAGCTAAATACCAGCTGAGGTACAGGCAGCAAACTTGGCATGCTGCACCTGCATCGTTCCAGCCACCTCCTGGCCATGAAAAAGCCAGGCATTGTGAAAGCATTGCCTCTGGCTCCATCCAGAGAGGAATCTTGGAAGAACTGAACCACTACCTGAGGAGTTCTTTGGTCCCTTCCCTGCCAGATCCGAGGAATGTGAATACAGGCCCACAAGAAATCCAAGGATGCAGTCGGGTCAAACCTGCCAGAAAACAAAAGAAGACAGATTTGCAATTAGAGTCAACGCAGCCCTCGGGCAGCACACAAACACATGGTAGTGTCTCTAAACATCATGAGTATTGTGAAGAAAGAAACATCTGCCAATGTAAAAATAGGATCCATTAAGTCCCGAGAAGGGGTTTGGTTCTGTTCCCAGATTATGACTAAATATTTGTTACAGTAAGCACAGCACAGGGTAGGAGCTGAACAAATGCCATCCAGGAGGAGTGTGGCAGCTACGTGGAGCCTTGCACCACAAGGCCAGAAGTTGGTCATCATCAGCATGAAGACTGACCTTACTGTCCCAGTGTACAGGACATCCTATCCTGGAGTACAGAAATTCACTAAATTGCTAGTGAGCAAGAGATCAATAATAAACAAGTAAACTGAAATACCATCAGCTTTAGAAGTACTGCCAGTTTAGTCATGTCCTGAATTACTACTGCTCTTAGGTGTTAGCATTTCCTGGTCCAGGAGCATAACATGTTTAAGCAAGATACTACTACAGTGGCACTTCGGTATCTGAGAGCAACCTTTAGAAGCTGACAGCTAGGGCTGCTCCAGAGATGAGGACTGGGAGCCTGCTGCCAGGAAGGGAGTTAGAGAAAGACCAGTAATGAAGTTTAGTCCAACCAAAAGCTCCAGCAGAGCCTGCCCAGGTACAGAGCCTGCAGTCAGCTCGCTATCCAAACCATCTTGCAAACCCCACGTTCGTAAAGATTATCAGCAAGGGCAACACTTAGATGGATTACCCAGTGATTAGCACTTCCTGCTTAAAAACAGCCAAATCTTTATGTGCTGCTTCCATCAAACAGCAGGTAATATTTATATCAAGGTACACAAATCAGCATGACTGAAAGCAGCATCCTTCTCACAAAGCCTGGTTTTGGCTGGGTTACATCTCCTGGCAGAAGCACTGTGGAACATGGCAGCTCTTGTTCTCAGCTTCTGTTTGTTCTCTCTCAGGCAGAAGGAGTTGGCCAACACAAAACTCCTTGCTAGGCCTGAAAAAAACAAGCCTCACCTTTGCTCCCGGTTTCTGCAGAGCAGCAGCTTGATGCACTGGTGCAGCGTGGTCCAGCTGGACTGGTGAGTCAGAAGGGCCAAGAGATACGGGCGGAAGGAGGGGACCTGGGACCCTGCCTGGAAGGGCCAAAGAAGGAAGAGAGGTGATAAGCAGCCCCTAGCCAGGAGGTGGATGTAGGAGGTACCCCATATGCTACAGAAGGGTGACAATCCCAGCAGGCAGACACCACAGAAGACAACACCTGGAGTTAGGATTTGAACTGCAGAACTTCCTACCAGAACATGGCACCAGCCCTGAAGCTCAAGTTTTAGTCTCAACTTTGGCCTAACACTTGTGGGCAAACTATATAAGTGTCTGCAAAAATACCAATGAAAAGAGAGCTGGCTGAGCTGTTATGGGACTATGTTGTGTCTGTAATGCACTTTGAAGTCCTGAAAATAACATAGCCGAGGAAAGGAATGTAAAGATGAGATGAGACATGCACCTTGCACTGAGAAGGATGCACCAGAACGCCCCTCCTAGTCAGCCTGTACTGCTTTGGAACTGGCATAGCAACATGTGGCAGAACATAAAACTACCCTTGCCCCATTTCAAGGTGCAGGTCAGTCCCCCAGAAAGGTGGTTTCAGCACAACAGTCCCTCTACCCAACCACTCTTACTTTGTTCCAGGAGAAGAGTAGCTTCTGCTGGAGATCAGGGCAGCTGCTGATCACCTCTGGGTCCAGCATTTCCAGCCAGTCATTCAGAAGGCCAGAGGAGGGCCCCAGGCAAGCTGCTTCAGCACTGAGGACAAAACCAAACCAGCATCAGTGGTGATGTCATGAACCCAGACCCACCAGTGAACTCCCATCACTGCCTAGGCTCACCTGCAACTCTCCAGCTCCTTCTTCACTGGTGTTTCTTCTTTGTCCTGGAGCAACAAGGAGCTCACCACAGCAATTGGTTTCATGGCAGGAAACCTGGTAGTGGTCTCAACAGTAGCTGAGAAGAGGACAGTCAGGAGTTCCTCCAGGTAAGGTGACTGAGTTTCAATCAGACCTTGCAGGACTAACAGAGGGAGAAAGATGTCACTCAACTTCAGGAGGTAGTGAAAGCTATGGAGCCTTACAAAAAGTATCAGGAAGCAATCAGCCCAGCTGAGAGTCTGGCTCAGTAAGGAAGGGAGAGGCCATTTTCACCTGGGATAGTCAGCTTCTGTTCCTTATTGCACTAGTGGAAACCAACACTCTGCTGAGAGACTTAACCCCAGCCCCAGATCAGGGTTTATAAACCCACATACCAGTGCAGGGCAAGGAGGTGCTACAAGACAGGACCCAATTTAGATCAGTTCATGTTTTCTGATCCAGGCAGAAGGCAGGTTCCCACAGCCTGCACAGGAGGCACCCCCTTGCTGGGCTGGAAGCTCATCCTGCTGCAGCAACGGGGAAGGAGAGCAGAAGGGCAGCCATACCTTTGCTGACGAGCTCTGGCTCCACATTACACTTCTCTCCTGATTTCAGGGTTGCAATGATGGCATGTACCGTGGAGCTGACCAAGTCAGGGTCACGACGGAAGGTCAGAGCTTCTGTGAGGTGCAAGAAGCCACCTCGAACTGCAAAGAAACCACAGTGTTGGCACCACAGGGCCAAGCCAGCTCCCATATCAGGCTTCCCTTCTACAGATGGCCCACGTGCCTCCGAGGCAGAACTACTCAAACATACAAACACACTACACCCTACTGCCATTTTACTCCCACCAAAATGCTTGACAGTTCCTTTGCATGTTACAGGAGACTGTGTATCTAAGAGAAAACTCTGTAACCATAAACCCATTTCCACGCTCTTGGTTACAGATTCCTGCTCCCAACAGGTGGCAGATGAGAAACAACTCTACAAGTCACGATGTGACCTTGTTCCAGAAGCATTCTTCCACACTCATCTTTCAGGATTCAGCTAGCACAAAATTCCTGACCTGAGCAATTGCAAGTTCCCCCTGAAAGATCTGCTGTGCCTGGTGAGATACTATCAGGCATCTGCTGCAAACCCCCAGAACCAAGTCACTTGTTTTCATCCTCATGGAGTTTCTACAGCACAGTACAAAACCTCTCTTCACTACTCCTAAGCAGAGTCCTCTAAAATGAAGGGCCCTCACCCACCCCCAACTTTCTGCTCTGGGTGCGGTTTAGTTTTGCCTCTGTCCTGGTCCCACTTTGTTCACCCCAAGTCCCATAAGCTGCACAACTCCAGTACCATCACTGATCCTGTGCCTTGAGGAGTACTGCACAGCAAAGGCCTTCAGCTGAGCACGCAGAGGACCCTCCTCCACCCCGGGGTTCTCCAGCCACTGCAGCATCTGCATGAGGACTTTGAAGAAGAGCGAGGAGAAGGCAGTGTCTTGTGCCATGTGGCGCTGGGGAGCACAGCAAGAGACTTGCTTACACACATGTCAAGGATACAACAAAGATAGCAGGAAAGATGCAGATTGTGGCACATACTGCCAAAACCAGATAGACCTACTCTGAGTACAAACCTACTCTGCTGGACCACAGCTCACTCAAATGAAGGCAGCAGCTTCTAACGTACAAATGCAAGGCAGACAACCCAGTCACACAAATAATACCACTCCCAATATAACTAAGGGTAACTGTGCCTTCTTTCACCATGATGAAAGGAATGAGTTATTTCATTGGATAAGCCTCAGACTGCTCTGAAGACTCTTTAAGGAATTGCAGCCTTCAGCTCTCAAGCTGTCTGCAGACACCCCGGTTTGCATGTCCATCCTACTGAACAGTGCAGACTAGAGATCCCAAACCCAGCAGAGACCCACAGCTGCGAATCCACGGTGCTACCCGGCTACCAGACCAGGTAAGGCACACCTAACCCTGCAGGGAAGCCCCAAGCAGAGCCAGACTCACGTGGCCAGCCTGCATCCAGACACCCGAGTCCCTCTGCACCAGGCTCCCCGGGCCCCCCCTTCCAGCAGTACCCGGGTGGAGGGTCCGCACGGGGCGGCCGCGCCACAGGCTGCACTTCCTCCTCCCCCCCTTCCTGAGGGCGAGCGAGGCTCCCGGCTGGCAGCGGGCCGGCAGCTGCCCCGCGGGCTCA